ATTATTTCATCTCTCAAAGAAAACAGAGTAAATTTAATGGACTATGAAAACAGTGTCAATTAAATATCTTTTAAAAGGGTACAGATTTTGCTTCAGTCAGGCAACTACCTTCAGAAAATTGCAAAAAGTGATTTAATCCTGCAATTGGCAATGTTTTCTCTTTCCTAGTTGAGAACTTCCTTGTTTTCTATTACCACCTTGGTTTGGACTTCAAACATAAAGCAATCCCAATTAATTGGATTGATAAAAATAATTTTTTGAATGAGGAAAAAAATAACCTTCAATTATGATAAAAGGCATTAATATTTTCTCCAACAATTCCGAATTGCCATGCTTGACAGATTCACGGTTGTTAATTTAATTATATTTCCATTTTCTGTTTATGAACTCAGAAGAACTCTTCTCAAACACACTGTGAGTTTCTGCCAATTTACCTGAGAAATGTCAATTTTTCATTTGTCTTCTTGCCACGTGCCCCAGGCAAATATGTAAGTTACATTCAGTGAACGAGGTTGTTGAAAACAAATTGAAGAAACTTTATAGAAGTTGAAAGTTTACTACAAGTCACTCAAAAATTTGAATCTCCTCTTGCTGTTACCAAGGTATTAAGTGACAATCCTGATTATGCCAGAAAGATATTTGTAAAGTTCTAATCACTTTACAAAACAGTAGACAGGTGTGTGTGCACATGTGTAAGTACCTGTGCACATACTCTGCTACAGCTTTCATCTCCTGCCTACAGACTTTTTGTAAATTGAGGTGGTTTTTGCTTTGGTTTGGGTTTTTTCACATAAGAAATATTAGGGCAAAACAAGGAAAGTGCCCTTGGAGAAAAGAAACAAGGATACACTAAAATTATGATCATTTGTGAGCACACTAAGGAATTTATTTTACAATAAAACAACATTAAAACTAAATAGGTTTGGAATAAATGGTAAAATCAAACCATTTTTATTTGAAACTCCTTACAATATGGGCAGACACGGACAGACCTAGAAACAGGAGTTATCAGAGAGGTAAGGTAGGAACATGACTTAAAATGGACATTCTGGATGAATTTGAACGACAACAAACTGTAGACCTAGAACAATGTAGGCAAAGTCAGATTAGCGAGAATACATATCTGAGTTTGCATGTCATACAACTGCACCTGTAAAATTACTGTGAATGGGGAAAACAACCAGCTGTGGAAAACAACCACTAAACTTTACTTTAACAAAAAATCAGAAATAAAAAGGCTCAAATTATATGGAGTTTCAATTTAGATGAAAACAGAAATCTGGGTATTTCTCTACTGTGACAAAGCAATCTAAGTTCAACGTCACTGAGATACTCTAATGTGCTGTCATTGTCCATGGGATATCTAGTTTATTAATTTGTCCACGGAATACCAAAGGCTGTGCAAAAAAAATTTGCAGTGTGAAGGCTGTAGCAGGTTCTCTGAACCTTTTAAGCACCTGGGAGAGCAGTGGACCCAGGTCTGTCTAAAAAAAACCCCAGACATAACTGCCTAGGTCAGAGTGTGAGATTGATATTCCCAATTAGCAAATTTAAAAGAAATAGAAAACAACTCGTTTTTGCCACCAAAAGGACAGGCAGAGAGGACTCCAGGGTAGTCTCATACCAGAAAGAGAAAGATATTGCTGCCTCACATGGAAGCATTCTGTTGAGCTGCTCTATCGTCTCTTAATAAAATAATAGACTGAGTCTGAAATGTCACATCAGAGTATCTGAGTCTTAAGTGGCAGAATGCTCGATATTTTCACAGAAAGTAAAGAACAACAGTTTCTTTTATTAGATAAACCAAATTAGATGTAGACAGAAACAAGCTTCCCTAACTACAGAATAATTTTTCTTCCTTTAAGATGAAGAACAATATCCTGGAAAGAAAGAATCTTTTTTTTTACAGAATCTTAAGAATCTGTTTCAAAATCTAAATATAAAGATAAAACTTTAAAGTTCAGATGTTTCTGTAAGATAACTAGGAATAAATAAGAGGAAATTATGTTTCAGATTTCTAAAGAGCAATTTCATGAGGAAAAAAAATATAATTGGGGGAAAAAAAGTGACCTATTAAAAACTTTCATTGCAAATGTGTGATAGAAGAAATTCCACATAAAATGTCTTCATCTGCAGTTTTAGAAGAGATCAATTTCCCTATTGCATTCTAAGATCAGTCTTATTTTTTCTTATCAATGCAATATGCTTCTTAAAAGTTCTTAACTGGAAATAGATCAACTGCAAGTGAATTCACAGATATAAATATTCATTTATTCTAATTTTTTCTAATATGACCTACATATTAGAATACATCAGCAGAATAAAGATACCACACAGTTCTACATTTACATGTTTGTCAAGTCTGTGAAATAGTAGTTTACTTGAATTTAATTTATTTTGGTGTTTTAGTGACCTCTGGTGGTTACATTCAAAGGAAACTGCTGTTCCCCAATTACCTGAATAAAAACTCTAAAAAAATCTCCAAAGCACCAATTCTTCAAAAAACAACAAACTAAAGGCTTTTGGCATACAGTATATGAAATTTGACTTCTTTTCTTTCTAAAATTTTTCTGCCTCTTTCAGGGCTTAACGTTACTCCTATTTACAAAGTCATTTTAACAACAACAACTAAAAAAATTAATGGTGCAAATTCAACCTCAAAGATAAAAGAACTATCCTTAAGTGATAAACACTGGAAAGAAGATTTGATATAAATAGTATGGTACAGGCAGAGGGCAAAAATAACTCCTGAATAGCATCTTCCCGAGCTCTCAACTGACTTCTCACATGTGGGAACAAATTTTGGAGCTAAAGGAGATCACCCCTATTTCACAGATAAAAAAAGCAAAGAGTACTAGAAGTTACTAGGAATGGAGGAGTAAAGAAAACACAAAAAAACCTGTCAATAGATGGATCACTCCTGCATCTTCAGACGGTAAGACCTGGATCACAGAGCCATTTTAGATTATGTTGTTCTGACTAGCTACAGCTTGATTTCGACATTTCTAATTAACAGCAGCCCCCAATAAACTTCAGCTGGAGTATCAGCTGGCTCATATAAGAGGATAAATTACAGTATTACATTTAATACAGTTTATAAGGCTGGTTTAAAGATTTGCTTTGTGGTGGTTTTTTTGTAAGCATCACACAACATAAAATACCTGATAGTTAACAGGAATGTTCAAAAACCTCACAGGTTCATCTAGTTCCTCTGGAGGGAGCAGAGGGGAACACAACTCAGTAGATGAGAAATTTCTAAATACCTCCTTCCCACTTTTCCTATAAATGAACTATTAAGTTTTGTGTAGTGCCTAAACTTATTTTAGATTTTTAGTTATTAGATTATTTGAAGACATGAAAATATAGGATTCAATTTTTTCCTCATTCTAATTTTGTGTAAGCACTCTAAAATCTTTTTAATTCAGAGATATTACCTTGTGAGAAAACAATGGAATGAATGTCATTAAATAAAGCATAGTAGACGAATTTTGAACTCAGATTTGTTAATTTAAAAAATAAATCCTTATTTTCTTAATGAAAAACTAATTTTAATTCACATAAGAATGGGACTGGTCTCAGATTTAACTTGTTTTTTGAAGTACCTGAATACTTATAAAAGTGCTAAATTCCATTTGTGAATATTTTTAATGTTCACATAAAAAAACCCACTGAAAACATTTTGAACAAAAGAATGTTACAGCTCAGTGTATAACTACTTCAATCTATTGCTTTTAAATACAACAGCTGAGTAGGAAATGTGTTTTCTATGGTGGAAACTGGGAAGCTAGAGAAACTACTACTGAATATATTAGTGCTAAGGACCTCAACAAACACTTAGCCAAAAAGCTAAGTGAACATCTCAAAATTACTTCTGAGCATTTTCACTGGAACTTTTGAAAGTTAAATATCAGAAAAAAATCTGTCACATACAAGAGCGCACTTAAACTGTGACCTGGAATTCAAATGACATGCAACTGTCCGTACTGAAAGACTTTGACCAAACCTCAGTGATTGTACCTATAAGGACTCTTGCTCCACTTTGTTACTTTATAAGACAAACAGGGAAGAACTATAATGTTTGAGTTCAGCTTCCACTACAGAATTGAAACATCAAGCAACATAGCAAAATAATCATATTCTTAATATTAATTAAGAAGAAAACAGAAGGTCCTAAACCAACAAAATAGTCACATTTTCAAAATAGTCAGATATTAACCGACAGCTGTATGTTCCTGCATGCCAGACCTGCACAGCACAGAGGCACAGTTACAGCTTGTGTTTAACAGCTGGGTCTGACATTCAAACACCCATTACATTCAAGTTCTGGCTTCACCTCATGAAGCAGAAATCATGTCACAGTCCCACTTTAAACAAATATTAAATAGTACATTCTGTCAAGATTTCTCAATTTGTGGGCATATGTCATATCAAAAAAAAAGGACAGAAAGACAATTTTGTTTAATCAGTCTTCTGGTTAGTCAACTACTGACCATGCAAAACGAAAAAAGAATTAAAAATACTTTTCTTCTCAAAAAAAAAATTACTTCCCCTTCATTATACATATTCTTTGAGAACTGTGAGGAGTCTCAAATTACTCCAACCTCAATGAATTTTTTGGAAAAAAATATGCCTAAGTATCAATTGCGCTATTTTTATTTTAATTATAATTACATTTCAGGATAACCAAACAATGGCAACAGTTTGTTCTTTCTACACACACAAGAGGCATGACAGTAACTATTTGATTTTATGAAAAGGAGAGAAAAAGACTAGAGTTTTATCATTGGTGGGTAGATCAGCCACAGGTTAGTAAAAATCAGAACTACAATTATATAGAATAAGAACATAGATTTATTTAATTAATTGATTATACTCCATTTAACACATAGGAGAAAAAAACCCAGCAGGGTTCAAAACAAAAAAAGCTGTCAAAGCTTCTGACATAAATAGTAAAAGCATTAACAAAACTCCCTGATTAAAAAAAAAAAAAGAAAAGTTACCTCAGAAATAGGCACATTTTCTCCAAGTTCAGCCGTGTGTAATGCCACTAAACCAATCACTCGAGCAACTCTAGCACGTCTGCGTATCAAATAAATATTTTGTGGGTGCAGAAAAACTATTTACAAAATACAACAAAAACAATTATGTCTTGTTTATATTTTATGTAGGTTGCTAAGGGCAGGAAATATTTGACGTCCTATTTACAGCTCAGATTTCCTTCTTATTTATGGGATTTTTTTGTATCAGTATTAATTAATATATAATTCATATATTTATACATTAAAAATATAATATAATTAATTAATATTATAATAAATTCAGTATTTCAGCTCATTTTAGCAATAAACTCATGCATAAAGACATTTCTTTTATTTAGCCCTGAAGAGTGAAGATTCTTCAGTTTGTTGGTCCTACTAATCTGTCAGGCTCATGTCCAGTTTTCATATAACACAGAAAACACCTACACATAACTTTTGACTTTTCAGCTGACGAAATAAAAATTAAATCTGCATCAGCAAATTAGTTTTAAATGTTTCTTTAAAGAAAAAAATGGGAATAACAAAATCAACATTTATGAAATTAACAGTAGAGGGCACTATCACATTGAAATATTTCTGACAGGTATTTAAAATAAAGCTACAATTACAGTTATTTTACTTCCTTTGTGGTATGGAGTTGGTTTATTCAGTAATTTTAAGTAACACTATTTGATACACTATATTATATAACTTCTAGATTAACTTTCAGAGATTTTCTATAACCTTTGGTCCTGTAGAATAGCAATATATTAATTCAATGCTGAAAAAATTCCATATTATAGTCACCATCAATAACTTGTTAATGAATATCTTTAACAAAATCCAGTAACAATTTTGAATTTGAACATATCCATTTAAAATAATTTTACTTACATATCCCAGCTGGAGGCTGCACGCAGTTGCTGTATCAATATAGGAAACTAGAGTTTAAAGCAGACAGATAAATATTAGTGAATTTCAGTGATCTGATAGTTCCAAATGATAAACAAAAAAATCTAAATATCAGTAATTTCATAAAAATGTATTTGGATAACATTTGTGAAGAGTATTGTCACAGACAAACATGATAGATGTTGTGCAAACACTGACTAAAGAGATAAAGATAAAAAACGAAAAAGAGCTAAGGAGAAAAAGGAAGGAAAATTCAATTCTTTCTATATTTTTGCCTTAAACTAAACTGCTAAACATATACCAGCATTAAAAAAAAACAAAAACAACATTTTTTCATTCTGAATAAGAGTATGCAGCAGAAGAGAGTCTGATACTTTCACCTACAAACACAGAGATCATCATATTGTATTACAAAACAAATATTTAATGAATTAATTTTGTGAAACTGGATAAAAATAGTTGGCAAATACAACAATAATCAATGTTAACACATATAATCAGCCACAAAAGAACCAAACTCATAGTGACTAATTCATTTCTAAAATATTCTGTTAATTGGCAATTCAGTTACTCGATTAATGTTTCCCCCCACCAAATTCTCCACTGATAATGGAATACACCTTCCAGCAATTCTTCTTCCTGCTTTCACCAGAATGCTATGGTACATGACCTACCACTGCTTCCAACCTAAATGCTCTTCATTGAATTTTTCTGGCAGTGCAATTTTGTCTTTAATATCTCTATATCCAACCATGACAGGTCAGTTTATGACTTAAGTGCTTTAGTATAACTGTAGGAGAGTGAAATAGTTTACTTTTAATTCAGTAAAATGAAAAGTGCTCATCTCAGGATAGCCTCTGTGATGCCTTTACATAATGAGGAAAAAAACCCTATTTCTCTTCTGCACATGCAAGAATTTTGAGAAATGAATTAAACCACTACAGAGGTTACCAGTTAAATTGTTTGGTAAAAAAAGTTTCTTGAAAGGTGAAGCCAACAATTAGGTATTACCTAAAACAGAGTCTTCAGAGACTCTGCTTACTGTAAGAACTGCTTAGTGAAAGTTTTAGTGCATTTTCTTAAGAAAGTTCTTCTTGATATTCCTCATAGACACATGGCCAAATAGAAGACATTTAACAATTCATACATGAACTTTTTTCAATATTCTTTGTCCTTTAATGATTTGCAAAGACTAATATTTTGTCATATGCTATTTCACACTCTCCAACGAGGTTAGTTTTTACCCAAACATTTTCACTAATACAACAAAACCATATGTAAATGTATCTGAAATGTAAGACAAAGAATTAGTTTTCTTCAGCATTTTTAAAACACCTGACATGGAATTTAGTAATTTTTTTGACACGTTTTTGTCAGTACATCAATGATTTCTTCAAGTATAACTAAAAGCAGCTGATTTTTCCTACAACAGCAAGTATGCAAACCATGTTGATTCTTTGTAAGCTTTATTATTTACCAGCTGAGAGCTCATTAGTCTGCTTGCAATCTCCTTGTGGACAGCCACAGTACACAGATAGTACAGTAAGTTCAGTTTAGAACGTGCTGCTCCTGTGCTCTTCTCGGTGGAATCAAGCAGTGAGCACACTCTTTTCAAGAAGTTATTCCAGTCCACATCATTCATAGATGATAACTTCTCAGCTAACCATAGGAAGCAAACAAATAGTTAAAGTTAATGGATCTTTGATGTTTCTTTAACATTCTAGAAAGTAACATCAGCAAGAATAAGTCAGGTCCAAAGTTTGAATCTAATTATAATTTTGGTACTTAAAATATTAAAGAATCATGTTATAATTCATGTCTGAAGATTATAGAAATTAAAAGGGAGCAAGAAGAGAAGCAAATAATAAAAACAGAGCAATGAAAGCTTCAAAGCATTTTTGAAAGTGCAACCCTGCTAAGTCCTTGGACTTCTTTTAAGGGAATATTATATTTAGGAAAGGTAGTAGTTGTCCTTTGTCATTACTAATTCTTAATAAGTAAGTGCACTTTCAGTAGAGTAAACTTGAGGAAAAAAAATTACAAAAGTCAGTGAAATCTCCTCAGAATCAATAAACTGAAAATGTGTATTGTTACTCATATAGGCAGGCACCCACTGAGTTAAACTTCAGTAGTATCAAAACACAGATGACTTCAGAAGGAACACAAAGTAATCAAGCCACTAGGGCAATTAACGTAAATCACTGACCAGTGTACATGAATTGAGATTTTTCACAGACTTCCTTATCAGTCTCAGCAGTTAATTTCAATCTAGCAGCCATACATTCCCTTAGTTCTGGTTAGTTATTTATTAATAACGTATCTGTCATCCTGATATGCTCCACTATAGGATATTTAAAAGCATGTTTTCTGTATTTTATGTTAATTTTACACTTAAGTAACAATACCTACTAATACAGGTGATTATAATATACATTAGCAAAGGTGAAAAGAGGTGTGGATTTCATGTATTTATCTTAATTTTTCCATATTATCTTTAATCATTACTGATGAGCAGCATCAAATTCATTATCTTCAAAAACAATCAGAAAGTTGTCCAGAAAAAAGCTGGACAACTCAGAAGGCATTACAATAACAAAAAAACACTGTCCCATACTAAAAAAATACTGATAACAATAATTAAACTTATCAGAACATCAGTGCAATAACTACTGAAATGCAATATGAAACATAATGCTTCCCTTAAGCACTTGTAATGGATCATTTTTGGATGAAACAAATAAAAAATATTTTCTGTTACTACAGTCTTGATTGGGAGACTGAGTGACATTAAATTCTTTTCTGACTATAAAATTTCTTCATCAAATTAACTCTCCAGAATATATATTTTTTAGAAAGAAAAATGAACTCTTATGCCTAGAAAGAGGTGCTATGTGAATTCCAGAAGGACTACATGTCTGGTTGGTATCTGTCTTCAAGCACAGTGAAGTGTGTAATACTTCCTTAAATAGACTAGAGTAAATTTTCCAGGAGAAGAAATTACTACACTCGTGACACTGAGCAGACTTTAGTTTTCAGAAATAACAGTACTCTTTTGAGACATAAAAACTAACAACAAAAAAAAAAAACAACCCCAAAACAACACCATCTTTTGAGACATGACTGCCGTAACAATTCATTATTAAAGGTGGGATTGGCAAAGCTGCCTAGTATTACAGCTGATCAACCCTACACATTTTAAGATCCTCTTTCCATTTGCTTCCCTGCCTTTTTAAAATTTTAAAATATTTAGTTGAATATATCAGTTCAAATACCTCCATTGGAAAAAATCCACTGTTTTGCCCACACTAAAACTGTGAGGACTCACTGTAAAAGTTTTTGAGCACAAGCTTGTAACTGAAGAAGGCAGAAGAGAAAGGAATGTCATGTAACTCAGTAACTTGACAAGGCTACTCAAAATTGGTCTAGCTAAAAACATTACAGAAACTGTTTCAGAAAAATTATGAGTTCCAAAACTGTGACAGCTTATGATCTACAGGTCTCAAGATAGTGAGTTACAGCAACACATGCAGAACTTGCTAACAGCTTCAGCAGATCCATACCTGAATGGGCTGGCATATGTAAAGTTTTTGAGTCAAAGCCAACTGATACTTGCTTTATGATCTGGAAAAATAAAAAAACACATTACAACTAGTTTTAATACATTTCCGGAAAATCTCTAAGCAGTTGAATGTGAGAATACAAAGATGCAAAATTTGTACAGGATGGGTGTACATACTACTTCTCATTACTGAGGAATTTTCCATTGTTTTCTGGTATTTATTCCTTCCAAGTAAACACTGGAGATTTAACTCTACGTTTTTAACATAATTATATTGTTAGTGTTTCCATTTAAGTGATTATTAAAATAGGATTACAAAATGATTGGATTTTTCAGTTTACATTTTTATCTTGCAGAAAAATACTTGCATTTGGGTTTCAAAAGCTACAGAAAGGAACTATGCAGGTGACAGCTCATTAAATGTTTTAGCAATTCATTTTCATACAGCAAATACATATATACACTAGATCATTCTAGAATATAAAAAGTCTTATTATCAACAAGTAATTTTTCATAAGGTATGGGGATTTTTTCCCCCTCCTGAAACATTATTTTCTGGTACATCATGAAATCGGATGACTGCTCAGTGACTGAGGATTTGAGTGTGATTTTCAGTAAATAAAGCATACAGAAAAGGTAACTGTGTAGTGGAATTTAGCCCTTGACTGATGAAGTCTGAGTGTAACCAGAGAGCTATTTTCTAAAAAAGGTCTTCAGCTCCACAGATCTGCAGAATACAGGGAAATTTTACAATGTAAGCTGACATTTCAACTTTTCAGATTCTGCCAGCATCTAGTAAATCCTTTTTCATGAGATTAAATTGCAAGCTCTTCAGCTTTACTAGGTGTCAGTATCATCCTTTAGTCTGAAGTGCAGACTAAAGAGTTACTGCCAAGCAGGCAATGACTCCTATTACATGTCCCTGGAACTTAGTGGGCTATTTTGCATTAATTTTGAGTCTGGCATTGCATGGTAAGGAGATTAGTCTCCATGTGCACATCAGTATGTACACTTACCCCTAATCTCCTCTCTTATACTTGTAGTAAGAAGAAAAGCTGTGAAGGACTAAGGCTTTGTGTCGTAGCCCTGAGATAGAACTGAGAATTTAACAGTGGTAGCATTCAAACTTTGAAATTCTCCACTGGCAACAATGTCCCTCCCTCCAAACATATTAAAACATTATTATTTGGTAGTTACACTATCTGGTTGTATAAGACCTTTAATTTTTGAAAGTGTTAGGAAATCCATTAAAACAAACCAAAAGAATTGTTAATACTAGAGCAACACAGAAACTAAAAGCTGTAAGACATTCTTAATGAGCTTAGATGCTCACTTGCAATCAAAAATGTTTCATTCTCTGCATCTGTCACTTACTGAGTAAAGCTGCTAAAACAGCTGCATTTTTTTCTAGCACAGAAACAAAGGGAAGACTAAAGGGGCTCTTGCCTATTATTCCTTCTACCAATAATGCCCATAAATGCACATTACACTGTCACTGCAGTGCAGAGCTCTGATTCATTTTTGGTTTGCTCTTTGCTGTCAAGCGTCAGTGCCTGCTCAAGAGACTCATTACAAACTGTTATCACATTACAATACATATGGCAGAAAGAGGATGGACATTTCCTATAATGAACTTCAGGTGTTCTTCTGGAGAGAAAATAAGTTCAAAAACATTATCAAATCTGAAGTTTAAATAGTAATAGAAGTTTTTCTGCAAAGGTCTAACTTTAATCTAGAAGGCTTCATAGATGGCCTTGTTTTGAGTATACCAAACCCCAGTTTTGTGCTCATTTAAGTAACAGATATCAAAGCAAGTTATCAGAAAACAAATCTACAAAAGCACTGAACACAGTATTTAGTAGCTTCTGTTTCTTGAAAGACATTATTTAATATTATTATTCAATCTCAAAATAACTCATTCCTCCAAATTAGCAACACAATAGAATTATACAGACTGCCAAAAAAAATTGCATGAGAGCTTGCCAGATGACTGGGTGGAAATGCTTTAAAATGAGAACTATAAAATACAGGAAAGGAGTTTCACCCTGATTAAAAATTTATCTGCAAAAATAGCCTCAGCCACAAGTTCCTGAATCTTATATTTTATTTTGCTATACCTTTGGATTGTCAATGATTGGTGTTATGATAAGATCAGATTCAGTGTAAATGAGCTCTCTCAGTGCTGACTCCACATCCTGCTGACTTGAGCACGTATTTTCAGCCTAGAGCAAGAACAAAGATTTTTTTTAAAAAAAACTTTTTTGCACCAAAAAAAAGTTAGTTCATGTTTATTCCCAAAGTGATTCATTTCAACATTATACCATGATGTTTGGCCATGCAAACAACATATTCTAACTTACTTTTCATTTATGTAATAGTAGATAGGACCAACTAAAAATCATAAGAGAAACACATTGGAAGAAAAAGCAATGGGTCCAAAATGTAGACTGATAAGAAAGAAGGTAACATTTTCCTGTTTTATGCACTGGGGCAAAAAAGGAGACTATGCATCTCTTAACTCATACATCTGGAGTTCTGCAAATCTATTTTTCAAATAACTTGCACACTGTAGGAACTGATTCCCTGTTAGCTATGGATGGAAAAGAAACCTGACTTTGCCACAGACTCGAGGCTAAAATTCTAACTATAGAGATACCATCATCCCTTAATATAAATTTTGTACTCACCTCTTTCAAGCATGAACCTCTTTGTGGAAAATTTTTGATTGGGGCAGTAGTAGCATCACTTACTTCTACTGCAGTGCTAGTTCTAGGTGTGGGGCGAGAACTTAAACAAAAAAAAGAAAAAAAATAATAATAAACCAATAAAGACTACAGATTAAGTTTTGCTGCAGTACTTTTCTGCCATACAGCAAACTTTCAAAGCTGATGAACATAAATGAGGCTATGCCTGAGCCAACTGGATATGAATTTTCAGTCTTTGAATGTGTTCTGACAAGGTTAGGATTTCTTTACCAGTTAAAAATGGAAGGGTGGTATTTTGTAGTTGTTATTGATGTTAAATGGATCTAATTTGATTATTTTCTCAGCAATAATGACTCTCAAAACTGAATGCTAAAACGTTATTACCTGAATTCCTAATAACAAACAAGCTACAGAGAAAATTAATGTGAGAAAAAATTGAAATTTATTTTATGTTATTCTCTTCTGACTGCTAACTCCTGGCTAAGACTGCCTAAATTTCATGTATGATTGTGAACTAGGTTTACCTTTTATTTTTTCTTTTTAAAAATCCTGTCTGCAAATTAGAAAATGAAGAAAGGAAAGACCAGAATACTGCAAAGTTGCAATTTTCATAAAGCTGCTACTGAACTTGGGGTTTACATTATATATAATGCAAAGCATTTAAAATGCACTTTAGAATTATTAAAATTGGCAGGCCAGGAAACTAGTAAAATCATCAACTTCAAATGAATGTGTTTTCTTCATCAGCAGAAAATAATAGACACATTTAGTTACAAATCAGCTTTATTTATTACAAAAAGCAACCAAATTAAAAATAAAAACACCAAACAAAGTTAAAAATACTCATGAAAATCAGTGACCAAATGACTAATATAATTGTTTTAACCTTCCATCTATTTTCAAGAGAAACTTGGGCACAATGAAGGAATGCCAAAATACCACCTACATAAACCTACATAAAATGTCCTAATTCTTTCAGCAAAAAAAGTATATCAGGATGTGCCTGGAAGTTTAGGCAGTCTTAGTTCCTAAACAAAAAACCCTATGATTTCTAGCTAGGAGGTTGAATAATTATTCTACGTTCCCACATCCTTCAAAATATGTAGATTTGATAAATATACTTTTTTTCAATAATGCAACTGATTTGCTTTCATATATTTCAAGTTTTATATTTAAACTAATGTGCTTATCACAAATAAAGTATGTTGTTAAAAAACATGATTTGGATTACATGTTGTTATACTGTTTTTGATGTCATTGTAGCCTTTCCTTTCAGCAGATTGCTAAAGCAAATGCTATTTGAAATTGCTGTGATGACAGAATTTATAAATGAGATGAGAATTAACATTATTAAAACCAACTGAAATAACCCGTGTAAGCACTATCATATACAAAACCCCTATTTCAGGTTATGCAAGAAGCTTGAAAGAGTATTTTCAAACTGGAATATTTCTTCTTGATGACAATAAGAAAAGTATCTATTTCACTAGACAATCTTCTTGGCTTGAAAACTAGTACAAAGTTCCAGAATCAAGCCTCAACTAAAATCACTGTTAAACCAATCACTATTTTCTTTTCTTTTTTTTTTAATACCCATGCAGTATTTAATAGGTTGTTACCAACAGCTTGGAAGAAAAGCTGCAGGTAGAATTTATTAGCATATCTGATGTTGAATCCTTATTCTTGCATATTCAAAGCAACGATACTAAAGCCTATTCTCATATATGAAGTAAGAAGGAAAGAAAGATCTAAGTAAATTCTTCTGTTTAGACTGACAGCTAAGAAATCAAAAGTTTACTCCCAAAAACAGTGTAATAAAGCCAGATAATCTTTAATTACACAGACTGCTTTTGCAGCTCTTCTAATATTTTAATATTAATTAAAGCGGTAATAGAGAATTCAAAAGGAGATACACACAGTGTTACAGGTAGAATAATAAAATGTCTGAAGAGATAGTGGGGAAAAAACAGCACCAAAAATACAGGATTTTGGTTTTTAGAATTTATAAATTTACAATTTCAAGGGGGTTTCTAATTGTTCTTTAAGTTTTCATACCTGAGAAGAAATATGGATTCATTTGATTCACCATCAACTGCACTTTTGGGGCGTAATTCAGCCTGAGTTTCTACTGAAAAGAGAACATCAACTTGCAGTCAGAGATTAAAATCAAATAAAACATAGGGACGTTGGTAGGATTGATAAAGATGAGTAAAAAACAACATAATGAACAATATTACCTATGTTGAGAGAACTGTTTGGTAGTTTAGGATCTGCTCTTGAGGATGACAGGTTGTCTAGACTTTTATGAGTATCCATTGGCTCTTTGGTACTCCAAGACACTGATGACTCTGTGTCCTCTTTGCTGCTTAATAGAAAATAGTAATTACAGATTTAAAAAAAGAGGGATTATATAGGGGTTTTTTTGCAATTGTTAGAATAAAATTTAGCTGTCATTCTCTGAAACATACTAATTTAATATGTTGCATATACTTTTTATAGCAGTATTGGCAATGATGACAAACAAGTTTACGGCAAATGAGCAGGAGAATATTAAAAATTCTGTCCCACTAGAACTTACATGGAAGACAGTAGAAAAGTTAAGCTATGACCCCATAATAAAAGAGCTGTAAAGAAATACTAAAAGCATTATGGATCATTCAATCTTCACAGGAAAAAGTCATAACAAACCTACCTCTAACAAAGTCGGCAGCCTAGATTGAAACTACTTTTTTGGTAGGTTGCTTAGATTTCTTGTTTTGTGGGCTTTTCTAAGATCTGGAGGTTTTTTTGGTTTATTTTTGTTGTGTAATGATTTACATGTCACACTTAATTGCAAGTTTATTGACTGTGGTTAAATGAGTTTTTTTTTAAGCCTGCCCCTCTATTATTCAAAAGGACCTGAGCTACGTAAGTTTCCTGAAGGCTCTCCAGGATATCAAATATTAATCAAATCCACATTGTGAAAAAAATAGATACACAGGCCTTACAGTTGGAAAAGAAAAAGTACTGAACTTCTTTAGCATGTAAGGCCAATGTTCTACATTTGTCATAACTGTCCATTAGTGCATATATCAGCAGATATGTCAGAGGCACTAGAAAACCCTCAAGAGCAAGGTCAAATAGCCAAATATTTCATAGGAGATTAAGATTCTTCTGATTCTCTGAAAATTCCTCAAAAGTGAACACTGAGATGGAGGTCTTGCCAAAAACATGAATAAATTCTTACTTTGTGGTATAAACTGTAAATATTAACTTCTTCTATGTCTTGCAGGTAAAAGCAGTAATAAAATTAAAAGATAAAGAACTGTATCTCAAACTAGAATAAATGATAATTACAAAAACATTGCAGCACTGGTATCAGAAATAGGTATTAAACAACATGAGAGAAAATTTTAAAGGAGATAAAACACAAAAACATTCAACATTCTAAAACAAAACTATTTTCACAGTAGTTCACTAGACTAGAACATGAACAGTTCATTAGACTAGAACATATCTTTCAAATATTTAGAACAACGTAACTTAAAAGTCAACGCTAAATATCCTAGTTCAAAATTAAAAACAAATAAACCAGCAAGGTAACCGGAGTTTTGAAGAAGCTGAATTTTTTAATATGTAGAAACCATTTGCACAAAAGGTTTGGGTATTTCTGCATATATATATAGCAGTGTAGAGTATTCCAAATCTAGAAAAAAACCCAACTATTAGATTAACGCTTTATGTCATAAGCAAAGAATATGGGTCAGCTGCATCTGCAAGATTATAAAGCTCAACCACAGCTCTAAGATGCTGTACTGATAGGCTTTGTGACGCTCTAAGCCTAATGCACAAAACCAACCAACCAAACAAAAATCACTAGAGATAAAACTGACCCATTCCACTAAAGCTTCCAAAACGAAAATTGCAAGTCAAACAACAATGTTATATAATATATAAACAAATAAGTAAAATTGACCGCAGTTAGTTCAGAAGTGTATTTTAACACATTCTGTAGCCACAAGGAAGGAGTCTGTTGAAAGTGAATGGATGATGTAACATACTAATAGGACAATACCATTCCTAAATATCCAAACCTGTCAATTGAATAGTGTAAAACTCCAGTCATTAATAAATGAAAATTCTAAGTAAAATTTCAAAAATTATAAAATTTACAAACAAACACAATAAAATACTTTTTTTATCTTTGCTTGTATTTATTACAAAAGAAGTCTTTCACAAACATATGGTACCTTGAGCTTGTGCCCTGTCTGTCTGCAGAACCACCACCACAATGGCTAAGGGATCCTTTCCAGAACGGATGCTGCAATAGGTCTGTCCAATTCAGCCTTTTGGAAAGCAACAAACAAACTGAAAAAGCAGTGGCAAAGTACAGCTCCACAGGCCATACCAGACTAAGATTTTAACCCAGTGACACTACAGAGCAATTAATCCTGTTGTTTGCTTTTATTTGGACAACAAAGCTTTCTTGCGGGACGAACTTTTTACCTCGAATCAGAATGGATAATTCACACAAGAGAGGTATGAGAATAAAAATGAAGGAAACTGTATAGTCAGTCCCTCACGTAAATTATCTGAACTACTCTGTAAATTACAGTCCTAAATTATTTAACAATGTAACTGTAACACCTATAAATCAAAGTCTGATAAAATACATGTGCCCATTGCTCTGGAAAAGCAAAGCCATCCAATTCTAAATTGCCTATCATTCTGTTTCAGTTATCTATTTAGCCCCAGTTATAAAAATACAAAGACACACTTAATGAATACATTAATTCTGTATATATTCATATAACAAAAAGCACAGTTCATTCTTCTATATGAGGGATTAAAGTTTTTTGCATTCTTTTTCACCTACAAAATACTATACATATAGTATCATAGGAATTTTTTTCTCCAGAGGTGACTACATAAACAACTGCCATGGATTAGACAGTTTACCTTTTCTGAGGATCCTTTTGAAGTAACCCATCAAGCAAACTGAGGAACTCAGCAGAAGGTTTGTGAAAAGCAGAACCTGTAAACGGAAGCACTCGTGAAGATCAGCAACAGGCAGCAAAACTGTCACCACATGTAGACCAAACAATTAACTACAGATCATGCTAAAAATGTTCTTAATAGCAATCTCATCTGAAAAAAATTTAAACGTATAAAGAATTTCAAATATACACTCCTTGTATTTCAAAGGATCCTCAAAAAAACCCCGAAAACAAACAAACCAAAACCAAAACAAACAAAAACACCAATTATTGGTCATTAAGCTAGTTAAAATTGTAACTTAAAAAAAAAGCACCCTCCAATTATCATGTAGCCATTAGAAAGAAATCAAGTGGAGTTAAGATCTGCTTAAACTGAAATTAAGTTTCCTCCAACAATAATAATTTTAAGAGGACCCGCATTGCACCCCATTATACAAAAGAGCTTTCCAAAATTCTTATTTTACTGAGAAAAGACTCTACTTCTGACAGCGCAAAACTGAGAAAGGCACTTTACCCACTTTGAAAAAAAAAATCTTTCCCAGAATTGAAAAAAATAACAACAGTTTTAATTCTGCAGGTTACCATTTTCAAGTACCTTACTACGAACTGAAAAGAGCCACTAATATTTAAGGGTCTCTGTGAATAACATTGATGACCAGAATGACCAAGATCAAAAATTCCATCCCAGTAGGTATATTTTGTGTTAACAATTAAAGTAAATTATATGTCTGTCTATCAAAGGAAAAACAAAAATTCATCTTTAACAAGGAAAAAGATCTTACAAAAGGAAGGCACTGCTAACATTCACTTCACACAAGTAACTGATTACTGCAAACAGCCTCAGAAGAAATTGTGCAAAAAAACCTAGTACTTTGTAATTCTTACTCTGATTTGATTCATTAAAGAATAACAGAACCTCACCCTCTGGTTTAGGTGGCAATGGATCTTCACATAAAATCTTTTCAATTAATTCAGAAATGTTTTCTGAGAAGAATGGTGGTTTTCCTACAAACAAAGACAAATGTATTTCACAGGTTAGGCAAACTTCAAAATGACTGTCAGGTGAATGATATATCATAAGCTCATGAAGACAGTTTCATGGAGATAACCGTGATAGCCCTGCATGAATCAGCAATGATAAAATAGGAAGAGGTCTAGGCAGAAATCTCAGTATCTTTGTTACTGAGCTGATCCAACAGATAAGCATATTGCTTAAGATTTAAGAAGGTTGCAGTGCAATTCTCTTTTGTGATGAAGCTTTCCTTTCAGCTGCACCAACTGGGCACTTTATCTGCAGGAAACCTATTTGCTCTAGTTTTATAATAGTGAAACAGTTTTCTCTTTCAAAGCTTGTAATAATGCACCCAGAGTTCAATCCTGAGGAGATTAAAAAAATTATACTATCAGAATTCGAGGGCTGCTATAATTTTAAATCATAGCATTTAAACCATACACATTGGTTAGTGTCATTGTATTTAGATCACAGTCAGCAGGACAACTTAACAGTATTACTTTACTTGATTATTTGATAAAGAACTTTAAGCACAGTTAGTACATTCTTCAAGAAATCTTTAAAACCGGTGTAAAGTTTTTCTATGTCTTAACTTCCCTAGAGAGTTAACAAGAATTTCCTCTGAGATCATGACCTATGTTTCCATTATCACAGATAGTAGGTAGATACATAAACTTACAACCTGAGAACATTTCATAAAGTAAACATCCCAAGGACCACAGATCACTGGCTTTGCAGAAGTCATCTCCCTTTATTGCTTCTGGAGCTGTGTATAATGGAGAGCCTACAAAATACAGTATGTGTAATGCACTTTGATTATTCATTCAGCATTTCTCCTGTTCAGTACTTTAAACTTTGTCTCCAGACTTCAGTGAGTTAGAGATTATCTTCACTTGGTATAAGAAAACTGAAATACCAAATGTAAGTAGTTTCAAAGCAACTTCTTTCCTATACTTTAACTGGATTATGTAGGATTATAGATGCTATTTTGTTGCTCATTTCACTTCTATTAACCAAGCTGTCTTGTGCTACACTTTTCAAACCCAGTGATTATTGTAAAGAATGTTGTGATATGCTGTAAAGCTTCCAGGACCAAGCAAATTGAGCAGAATAGTAAACCAACATCATTCGCATACAAGCAAGAGAAATCATTATGTTACATCAGGTTTGGGACATTTTTAAAAGCCATCTAAAGACATAAACCTTCGTGAACTTAGACGGTTTTGTTACAAAAAACAAGGCAGCTAGCCAACTGATCTAAATAGTTATAGCTATTTTCACCCTGAAACACTTTGAAAACATCACAAATGATAACATCTTATTCACAAATCTCTTTTGTAATGAAACAGAAAAAAATACATAGTTTTTATTTCTACACTTCTCAAAAATCTCTAAAAAATTACACAAGCTCAGTAGAAGTGTCCATTCCATAGTCTTTAAAAAGTTTATTTTGGATTCTTTTGTTCTTGGGTTTTATTTTTTTAAGTCACAAAAGGTCATTACCATACGTATCAAAACAGTTGTTCTAAAAAGCAACAGGAAAGAGATTAGATTTGTATTTCTTCCTGAACAAAGTTCTGGTCTTGGTCTTACTAGTCCCAGTGTGGACTCTCAGAAGGAGGTAGCAAAGTATTTAGAGAGCTTTCTCTGTTCTCATAAAACATCAAGAATTCTGTTGTTTCCAATAACAGTACCTGATACACCACATCAATATCTTGGAAAGAGAGGTCTGTGAGATGCTCCAAGTAAGGACTAATATATGATTCAGTAGATTAAAAATAAGTTTCTGATTTTTTTCTTATTCAATGAAAAAATAACATAGTATTTGCAATCTACTGCATTTGCATGGATCTGCCTACTGAAACTGAAGCACATTAACTGCCTCATACTTTGAAATTAAATTATCATTCTTAAAGGTAGCCAAACAGTTGACCTCAAACTACAAATCACTTGTACCATTTGCATCAAAAAGGACAATGGAAGTACAGCAGTGCACTCTCCAAGGAAAAATGCAATAGTTCTGTGTAAACATTTAATACTAACTTAATGGAATTGAGTCCCAGACCTTACAGAGAGCATCTGCAGCAAAGGCTTTTTAAAACTCCATAAATAATTCCATAGCTCAAATTTTCCTGAGGCAAAACAGGATTAATCCTAAATCATTTTTCTTTGTCATACTTTCAGTATCAGTTATTTCTTCACTCTCCAATTACTACTTTATAACAGGAGCACAAAAAATAGTAAATACGTGATTCTGATACTTCCTTTGAACTTTTTTTTTTTAATACACTGTCTTATATCAACTAAACACCACAAATAAAATTTCTTTAGTAAAGGAAGCCACTTCCAGTTTGAACTCTGAACTTCCAAAGCTTAAGTGATTGTGTGTAATTTTCATCAAATAGCAAATTAAAATTTAGCCTCCTTAGCGAATCCAAACCAAGAATTAATATTTTGAATTAACTAGTTACATTGAAACACTTCAGATCTCATTCATATACTCAGTTTGGAGTTTGTTATTTTGGAGTTCGGGAGTTTTTTTAATTCTTGAAATTTTGCTCCCTTCTTTTTCCCTACAAAGAAAAAAATCAAGAGCAGTTTATAAAAGAACAAAAATATGTTCAAGATAAAAAGATTATATAATAAACTGTAGTGTAGTTATTTCATGTCAAGGTTTAAAAAACGATTTAAAATTAATCATCTCCAGGTATGCTGTGTTGGAAGTTTGTTCTAAAAGTGTGATACAGTCTATAATCACCTACATATGAGCTTCAATCCAAAAGAAAACCAGAAGTCAGGAATTGTTAATATGTCATACATTTTACGACAGACAGAATCATATTATTTCCCAGCTCTTAGTTAAACTGTTTTTATGAAACAGAGAATTATTACCATACACTTGTAAATAGTTTCTTTTCTTTCTACTCACTCGCAGGTGTTGTTCCATCCGTAAGTTACAATCTCTCTGAACAATCTTACTTAAGAGCTAAGTTTTGGGTTTGACCTTATTTAAAAAATTCCCATAATGCAGGAGATGTTAAAACCCCTTACAGAAAATACACTGAACATGCTTTCCCATTGCAAAGACACCGGGAAACACATTAATCTTCACAAAAGGTGACACTACAGAATTAATTATTCTGTTTTATCAGGGCGATCCTGCCCCTCTACTCAGCCCTAGTGAGGCCACATCTGGAATGCTGTGCCCAGTTCTGGTCTCCTCAGTACAAGAGAGACATGGAGCTCCCGGTGCGAGTCCAGTGGAGGGCTACAAAAACAACTGGGGGAATGGAGCATCTCTCTTATGAGGAAAGTCTGAGGGAGCTGGGCCTGTTCAGCCACTGGAGAGATGACTGACTAAAGGCGGGGAGCCAAGAGGATGGAGCCAGGCTCTTGTCAGTGGTGCCAAGCAATAGGACAAGAGGCAACAGGTAGAAACTGATGCACAGGAAGTTCCACCTGAATATGAGGAAGAACTTCCTTATGTGCAGGTGACTGAGCACTGGAACAGTCTGCCCAGAGAGGTTGGGAGTCTCCCTCACTGGAGATGTTTAAGAACCATCTGGATGCAATCCTCTGCCATGTGCTCTAGGATGACATTGCTTGAGAAGGAAGGTTGGATCAGATGACCCATTACAGTTCCTCTTCCAACCTTATCTTTCTGTGACTCTGTGATTCTCCAGAAACTTAGAAAGCCCCCCAAAAATGCTAAACAACTATTTTATTTCAAGGTCTTCTCTCCAAACTACTTCAAACTACTCCAAACTACTTCCAACTTTCATTTTGCCTCTTTGGTAAAGGTTAATTTTGGCCAGTAAAAATATTGTACCTTTAAATCTGTTTTTCAAGTATCCTTGCGGAGTACTTTCACTAACATCTTCACCTTCTTCATTTCCAATTAAAGCAAAAAATTCTTCCGAGTTTTCACCATCCACTTTAGCCAAGCAAAAACTACTGAATTTCAAAGTGCCAGACCCTTCCAGCAGAATCTAGAAGAATAAACAAAATCCAACACACTAATATGATGCACTAAAACTGATGATTCTGAAATTTCCAACACAAAGCATAAAATAATTTATTTTAAAAAAACACAATCTGAAACCATTTAAGCACATAGAAATTATCACCATAATCAAAAACACTGAGAAGTTTTTTTAAGTACCGTCAATACTGACTTTTTACTTACAACCAAAAGTATCACAATAGAACTCTTAAGAGTTTCAATGTGCACTTTTGTTTACTCATTATTAAATATAAATAAACAATGATGTTACTCGAGAAAAGAAAGTAAAAGTAGAGTAAAACTGTATAAGAAGATAAAAGTAGAGTGAAATCAAACAAGGCTTCCTTTGAGGAAAAAAAAGTGACTTTTTCTAATTTTATTTGGCAGAAAATCCCACAGATTTTGTCCATTGATGATGAGAGTTTTCTCTGGGCAGCCACTACTTGTTCTTATAATTAAAAACTTCATAATCCCAAAAACTTAGTTTGGAGAAATAGCCCATTCAGTCAGAAGCAGGGAGTGGGGCACAGAAGCAACCTTAATTAGCACTCTACTTGCTGTTCAAAGGAGTCCTTTACAGCAACATTCTTCTTTGGATTACTACAAAATCATCTCCATTATGCTTTATTCATATTTTTTTTTATTTCTTTTGGACCCACAAATGACATGAACTGAGTAGAACTGTGGAAGAACTCACAGAAGAAGGGCAACTTGATCACTAATAGATCAAGATCAAAAACAATTATTGTTAAGGAAGATTTTTTGATTATAGTCATATTCCAGGGACTACATGAATTAAACACGGACTTTGGAAACCTCTGCATAAATTACACACACAGACACAAAATGAGAAAGTACATAGAGATTTTTATTTTTATGCAAGAATAAGATGATAATTTACATGGTATCTGGAAACAATAGAGGTTATTAACAAAGAAAGTTTAATTAACTTTACTCCCCCATTAGCACTTTCTATGACTGCAAAATATTCTGCAGCATGATAGAGTAATAATGAATCTATTCTATGTCTAATGACAGAGAACTAAAATCCTTCATTAATTAAACCAGTACACCAAATCAAAAAGAACCTATCACATTGTATCAGATACACAATAGGGAAAGAATCAATTAGATCATAAAATATTTAAGCTATAGACTTGTCTCTTATTGTCTTCACATATATTATAAAGCTCAACTGGCCTCCACTCTGAGATAAACCTCTTCCAAACAACAGAACACAAGTAATAAAATAAATGCTGATGGCATGCAAAGTAACATGCAGTGTTCCCTACAGATAACACTCTTCCTTACCTTTCCAGGCGTCAGCTCACAAAAGATAATTCCAAGCTTATGAATATGGTATAAACCAGTAACCAACTCAACACCAAATTCTCTCACTACATCTTCTGGTAGATGTTCATCTTGAGCAATGACAGACTCTAGAGAACCACCTGAAATACATTTACACATAGTAACTGCATATAAAGAAGATGTCATATAAGTTATTCCAAAGGACATTACATAAGCTTCTTCAAAAGATGTCAATCAAAAGCCATTATCAGTAGATATTTAAAATATTTTTTTATATTATCTACCAGTTATAAAATCTAAGACGTACAGAAAAAAATCTGTTTTCAACACTGTGACAAATATCTTAATTTTGAATGAAATGAAATTGAGTGCACAGCTTCAAAATTACTTGAATTGATTTGTTTAACAAAGGAATCCGAAGTGGAAAAAAGAAATTCAGGAACTGTGTCATTTCACAATGTAATTTGTTTACATGTAAACCAAATGCATTTATTTAAATTCCTTAACCAGACTCCTGCTGCCTAAGTTAAAAGAATAAATAATACCAAGAGCAGGTTATCAACCTCTGTGAACAATTGCTAAAGATAATGGCAGGCAATTTTCCACTGAATTCAGAGACAACAGAAATAGCGAAACTGTGTTACAGTTTGAGGTCCCAAGGTCAACAACATCCAACAGATAACTTATTTTGTTTCTTCTTCACATACAGTGTTTCTACACAGTGAGTTCTTCTCTTGACTCATGTGCCTCACTTCATTCATTTTAATCCTTTCCCCTATTTTTCTTTTTTTTTTCTTTTTTTTTTTCTTTGCTTTTAGAGAAAAGAATTAAAAAATATCCAGGACTAAAATTTTGCTTTCTAGGTTTCTCACACAAATCCCAGCTGTCTGCCCTATACATCCCTGTAAGAATAAGCAGTGACTGCCCGGAAAAAACTCTCATAGCTCTATGGATTTCTTATCCTATCATGACTTCTCTCTCCTTCCAAAATTACTACTGTGCTTCTCCATTAAGTTCCAACCAGCTCTTCCTTTGTTTTGTGATCAGATTACACTTACAAAACCTTCCAAATAACCCTCACATATACCCCCCTCCATCACCTGTGCTCTTCACTTGTTTTCACAGTTCATGCTTTTCCCCACTGATTGTTCCTGTTTCTTTCAGAGTCCTTGCAAAACTCTTTCTTCTTCCCCATCACCTGCTTCCTCACATTCCATGGATTCTCAGGTATGTCATCAGACTCAGCCAATTCGAGTCATTCCCACCCTAGCTGTTTATAGGACTTCTTCTAATCTAATTTCCCACAAGCTCATTGCTCAGTCTTTCTCTTCCTTCCTGTCCCAGTTTTCTATCCTAATTCCACAAAACATCTCCCCTAAAATCCCTTTTCTCAGCCTCATTTATTTCTTTACTAATCCTGCACCAAATCTGTTCCCCTGAGACCACAGTTTGCATTTCCTAAATTATCTACCAGTTTTCTGGGTTGTCTGTTATTTATATCTTACCCAAATCACGTAGATCAAAACAAAACAAAACACAAATTTAAGTCCCTGAATGAAACAGGGTCTAGGAAACTTACTCATAGAAAAGGATGTTTTATTCCAAATCACAAAGATTCCCCTGAACTTTTTTCCCTTTGATCAGTTATTTTTTTCAAAGAATACAAAGACTAACAGGTCTGTCATTGCAGAATTTTTCAAATTATTCAACACTTCTGAATCTTAAAATTATTTTATTTCCAAGCCTTTTTAGGTGGGTTAGTAAATCAGTCATTCTTTTAAAAAACACACCAATATTACATAGTTATAGTAAAGAATTTTCAAACATGCTTAATAACTGTTTCTTAAAATGTAATTTAGAGGACTCTATATAGAAAAATTCCATAATATGGCCAAATACACAAAGGAAAAAAAAAAAAGTAGAACTGGCAACACAGAAGGATTCTGCATCTGATACCAGAAATTCACTTTGTCAGCTTGAGACAAAAGAGAGAGATCTTGCATATTTCAAAAGCAGCTCTCAATCTAGGCAAAATTAATACGAAATCAATGTCATATTCTATGTATAAGTAAGGTTGCTTCAAGATACTCTCCTTGCAGCAAACTGTAATATTGCAAGAATAAAAGTATGCCAGTCTAATAACTTAAATATGTGCCCCGAAGTTGAACTAAGCAAAGAGATCAAAACCTTCTAATGCGTTATTGACTTCACTTTTAGTCATTGAAAGAATGACTTTTTTCCCAGAACTTGTAGGTTCTCTTCTTCAGGAATTTTTCAAACGGAATTCTGGATAGATAAAAAGGCTGTGTCTAATGAGGACTTTTACTATTAAACAAACTCCAGATGCCAAAAATCTTAACACGCATTACTTGCCTATTGGCTTTCTTTTCTCTCCATGTGGAGTAAAGAACACTATCAGGAATTTAAAATATGCAGTCATTAGAATTACAGAAAGCTTTAAAAGATTCCTTTAATAGATTGATAAGAACCTATCAAAACTCAGTGAATCACTTCATGCAGTTTTGGGTTCTCAGAGCTCCCCAATTAACATTTTAGCATGGCAGTCAAAATACCTGCACTGAATAGGAAGAAAATTTAAATAATTTACTTTAGCTGCTAAATTGCCCTTTGATTAAAAATTAACTTGAAGAACTTTAAGTTCATTTGTACATTATAGCTTGATTTTCTCCTTGCTGTCTTTTAAAAGAGAATGCCAAAGCTGCCAGTACTTAATAAACTTTTCAAGTTATTACTTAACTACCCTTCAACTAACCATAATTTGTTGTTATGTTCCCCTGATTCGCTGTATCTCTTCAGCTCTTAAAAACCAACATTATGCCACATCAACTAACATTTAACAGACGCATACAGTGAAGGAGAGGAGAAATTATTTCAGTTGATTTCTAAAAATGTTTCCAAGAACAAAACCATTTTTATATATAAACAAGCTTCTCAAGCTAATAATCAGATAATCTTACTTTTTCAAAGACCTAACCATCTGTTGTAAAGAAACTGCTAGATGAAATCTCTTACAAATACGCATTTATAAATGTTTACCTTTTGAGCTTATCTTACCTGTGCATAGTTCCACTACAACCCAGAGATGGTTGCTGGTTTCATACCATTCATGGAATGTTACTATATTCTTGTGTCTGATTTCATGAGTCAGACGAACCTAGAACAAAGTTCTTAACATACTTAACTGGGAATGGGGCAGGGGAATAAATATTTATATGTTTATATGGACTTAAGGCAGGGCAGCAAGAAACAATACACCTTTACCCTAGATGAAATACTTGTTCTCTTGCCTTTCCTAATGCACTAATATTACTCTTCAAATATTTTAGTTTTACATGTATGCTGAGAGAAAAGCTAACTTTCCTCACAGATCCTGCCCAACTCATCTGTTTATAGAAAAAAAATTAGGAACTTCTGCACTCCAAAATTATAAATATTATTTAACCTTCCTGCATCACTAAAACAATAACAAACTGGAAATCAGAAATTGGAGTCAAATCTGCACTCCTGGGTGTTTTTTCAAAAAGAATATAAATGAGAGACAATACACCAAGAGGAAGAAAAAGAAAATTTTCCATCATTCTTAATTTCATCAGCCAAGGACAATCATTCCAGAGCCCCTGGAGATCTATATTTCTATTATACCATTCATGACCTAATCTCTACAGAAGCCTGTTCTTTTGCTTGAGTGGTATGTTCATGTAACCACTATTCCTCATCTCCCTGTGTCACTGGCAGGGGTAGAGGGAGAGAAAACTGGGAGTAAAGTTGAGCCCAAGAAGAAGGGAGAGGGGGAGGGAAGATATTTTAAGATTTGATTTTATTTCTCAGTATCCCCTTCTGGCAACAAATTCAATTCATGTCCCGAAACCCAGCCTGTTTTCCCTGCGAGGGTAACATGGTGAGTGATCTCTCTCTACACTTACCTCAACCCACAAGCCTCCCGTTATATTTTCTCTCCCCTGTGCAGTTGAAGAAGGGAGTGATAGAGTGGTTTTGGTGGGAACCTGGCATCCAGCCAAGGTTAACCCACCACAGAAACAAAACTTATCTACTGGAAAATTAAAATATTTGAACTGTGTAATTGTATCAGTTACAGTTTCTTTTCTAGAAAGTATCATATATTTAAAACTGTGCCAAGGTTTTACAGACCAGGGTTGAATTATCTTAAGTGGTGTTCTTTCATCAACAATAATTTATATTTGCTAAGTAAGAAATTTATTATTTACTGGAAGATATTACTGCCATTGGATTTTCCCAACTAATAGCTAAGTAAAACAAACCACTAAATGCAAGTAACTGCTGTTGCAAGTTCTCTGACACATCATAAAAACAGTAAGACTGTAAACATAGGCTTATGCTTGTGATCTAGAAAACAATAAAATCAGATGAAGAAACAAATACATTAAAATAAGACTCTATTTAAAGTATAAGAGTTTAAAATCTTAAGAAGCTGATCTAAATTACGACAAACTCCATGTAAAGAAGCACATGGTATTTTTCTTTTATAATACCTGTGCTACAAGGTTTTGGTAGGCTGTATCTTTTCCCAGATTTAGCAGGAAAAAAAAACATTACTTACCCAGTTTGCTATTTCAGTTCTTTTGCATTTATCAGTGCAAAGAATGGCAACAAAATTAATTGTCCCCTTTCTTCTTCCTTTATAAACAACTGTCCTATTTCCTCTTCCAATCTCCTCATACAGAATGAAGTTCTCCATACTTTAGGACGCTTTACAGGCAACAGAGTGAAAACATGGTATTAGTCTCATAAACAAAGAAAGGAGGACAAGGGAGAAGCATTCAAATTTAATAGTCATTGATATATAGTAACTCACTCCCAATGCTCAAAAGTAGGGATTTTATGCTTCCAGAAAGATCAGAGATCAGTGCCTGCCTCTCCACTTTCCCTCATGAGGAAGCTGCGGTCCATGATGACCATAGCCCCTTCCTTGCGCTTTTTCTTTCCATAAACACTTCAAGCCAGGCTCAAGGACAAGTACAGAAATATCTGGTTATCCGACAAAAGCAAGACCAATAACACATAAAGGCACGTTGGGAGAGAGGAGTCATGGCCATGGTGTAAGGGTAGAAGACCCTTCCAGATTTATTACACGGAGATCAGCGCTTGTTTCACTTAGGAAGACTTTCCTGCCTGGACGAGGCATCTTTCCCAAAAACAGTTTTAGATGTTTTCTCCTCTCCCTGGCATAAGAAAAAGATAAGTCTTTGCAGACATCTTTGAAGGCCCCCAAAGAGGAGGGGCCAGGGATGATAAAAGCCCTGAGAAGAACAGGGGCTTGTATTTCCCCAGGTCCAGCGTTTGAAACACTAGTTAATGTTCTTTAAGTCTAGTGTTATCGACTTGGGAAATAAATTTTCTTACAATCCTGCCTGGCATCTGGGGGTTCCTGGGCATTATCTTTCTTCACACATGGGAAAGGGAAGCTTTCCTTGCCACCTCATGACTGGCAATACTTGCAAATAAGGTCTCCTTTTGCTGCTCTTCAAGAGGCTACAGGGAAGAGAGAAGCATCTGCTCTTGCATCCCTGAAGCTCAAGAGTAATGGCTATGCCATAATTTCAGTAACGGAATCATAAGATCATAGAATGGCTTGGGTTAAAAGGCAACGTAAAGATTATCTAGTTCCAACCCCTCCCCACGGGCAGGGTCACCTCCCACTGGACCAGGATGCTCAGAGCCCCCTCCAGCCCGGCCTTGAACACTGCCAGGGACGGGGCACCCACAACTTCTCTAACACACACGGCACGCTTTAGGGGGCTGAGATTCGTTCACCTGTTTTGGCACGAGGTACGGCGAGACGGAATAAAGAGGCACGAGGAGTCCCTCAGCCGCGGGACCGCAGCCCCGCCCGCCTCGATGCCGCCCTCGGGCCGCGGGCAGCGAGAGGACGCTGAGGGGCGGGGCCGTTGGGCGCGCGCCCCGCCCGTTAACGGCCGCGGTCCGCGCGCGGGAAGAAGGGAAAGAAGGGAAAGAGGGAGAGGGGAGCGGCAGCCTGACCTGTGCGGCGGGGGACGGGCCCGGCGGGAAAGGGAGGGAGCGGGGAGCGGCAGCCTGACCTGTGCGGCGGGGGACGGGCCCGACGGGAAAGGGAGGGAGCGGCCGCCGTACTTATGCGGCGCGGGACGGACCCGGCGGCAGCATCATCGCCGCGCCGCCGGCATCAACCGAACCGGCGGAGCCCCGCCCCCGGCGCGGCGTCTCCCATGCTCCGGTGGTGGGGTCCCGGCCGGACGCCCGTCCCTGTGCGCCACAAAACGAACCCAGCGGGCGGGGCACCGGCACAGCAGGCAGGGTGACTCTGGGAACTGCGGGGATTTGTTTCGCTCTGTTCCAGCAGGAACGCGCCGACGGGTCCCACCGGGGCCCGTCCCCGCTCCCCCCGCGCGGCGCTCAGATGGTCGATACCCCGCGCCCGTATCCAGGAGACGGGCCGGGACGCCGGAAGTAGAGCGGAGCCGCCATTGGGCCAGGAGGCGCCTACGTCAGGGCGGGACCGCCGGGCCGGGCCCGGGGGGGAGCTCCGGGATGTTGGGGTGAGGGGTTCCGGGGGCTGATGTGTTCCTCGGGAAGGCCCCGCCCGCCGCTTCTGCCCTGGGTCGCGGGGGCTCCTCTATTAAACCTCTATAGCAGGGTAGCGTCGTCAGCCCTGCTGTGGCGCTCTGTAACTGCCTAATTGAGGGACACAAATGCCAAAATTTAGCCCTTGAAACAAGTATCTTCTGGTTTTAGCAGCCAAAGGGGTTTTCACTTTATTTTCCATTCCAGGGTGGTCTGGTTTTCTTTTGTTTGGTTAGTTAGTTGCCTGCTTTTGGTTTTGTAAGGCTCTCGAAAAAGTCAAGTGTCCTTTTCTCATGGGCAACATCAGTAACTGTAACAGGACAAGGGGGAAAGGCTTCGAACTGAAAAAAAAAAAAAAAAAGTAGGTTTTTATTAGATATTAGGAAGAAATTCTTGACTCTAAAGGTGGTGAGGCACTTGAACAGGTTGCTCAGAGAAGCTGTGGGTGCCCCGTCCCTGGGAGTGCTCAAAGTCATGTTGGATGGGACTTGGAGCAACCTTGTCTAGTGGCAGGTGTTCCTGCCCTTGGACAGGCAGTTGGAACTAAACGATCTTTAAGGCCCCTTCCCAGCACAAACAATTCTATAATTCTAACAGAACATTTAACAACACTTGGTCTGTCCTAGAGCAAGCTGTAAAGAATTCTGTTTTGCCCATTGTCCCACGTTTATTTTGACTTCCTAACAGGTTTGAACCCGTTGACCCATTTCAACCAAATTTGATAAAAGAAGTAGTATACTTACAGGAAGGAGTCAATGTTTCTTTTAGGCTGAATGGTAACAGATGGTTAGGTTTTTTACTCCCACGGTTGGAAAGATTTAGTTATGAATTTAAACCCCTCTAATACTGAAAAAGGGGGGAAAAAACCCAAACCCTATCTCTAATACTGAAAAAGGGGAAAAACAACAACAAAAACAAACAAACAAACAAAACCCTCCCTGTTGATGAAAATAGAAGACTGAGCTGGCAGTGTGCACTCACAGCCCATAAAGTCAACAGTATCCTGGGCTGCATCAAAAGCAGCAGGGCAAGGGAGGTGATTCTGCATCTCTGCTCTTCTCTTGTGAGACCCCACCTGGAGTGCTGCATACAGTTTTGGTGTCCCAAACATAAGAAGGACATGGAACTCTTGGTGCAAGTCCAGAGAGGGGCCACAAAGTTGACAGGACAACTAGAGCACCTCCCCTGTGCGAACACGCTGAGAAAGCTGGGGCTCAATCCCATTTTGCAGCATAAGGTTTTAGTAATTGCAGAGTTGACCTGCAATTATCAATGAAGCTACAGCTTTGAAGGTGCACAAGCAAAGTAATTTTTTTTATTTCTTTCCATGAATAGCTGACTAGATATAAATAAACTGAATGCGTAAGTAGACATCACTTAGTTTCTTTAAATAAGCGCAAGAAAAGCATACTTTGAAGAGGGATTTATTTAGGTTTTAGAAAAATGTGTGTTTTATCTTTGGCTCTGATAAGGATGACTGATATAAAGAAGAAGGAATAGAATATTAGCTTAATTGCACATGAGTCCTGGCAATAGTTCAGTGCCAGGTCTTACAGTAGTCAGTTTTGTTGTCCCTGTCCAAGAAGACAAAACTAATCCACAATAACTATCAAGTTACTGTCTTTGCTTCCATATTTTTAGTGTTTTATCCTATGAGAGCTTTGTGGATAAATTAGTCCAGGTTAGGGATTGGTCTTATGCAAATGGGGTAAATATCCCATTTTGGGAGAGTAAGAGTGTATGAACTTTAATATCAATAAAGTCTGTTGAAATCTTCATGTAATAGTGGCAATAGCAATACAGAGAGAGACACTTAAATGTTTAGTAACAATCAAGTCATTTATAGCTTTTCAAGTTAAATATCTTCATGATAAAAAAATTTAGTATAATAAGGGCAGGCACAGGGAGACATGTTAACTTATACCCCTTTTTTTCTCTCCCCTCTCATTAGGAACTACGGCACTTCCTTATTGTTGATACACATTTAATTACATATTTCTATGTTTCTTACCATCTGGATGCACAATTTCAATATACTCCAGATGGGGAATTGTCCCTTTGATTTGGTGTAAGCATGGGGAATTCTCTCTTCAAACATGTCAGTCGCTTCAGGTATGAGAGTTATCTTGCAGAAATAATCTAAATTTAAATACAGATCAGGGCTGCATTTATAAGACTCTTATCTTAGGCCTTTTTCTTCCTGTTTCAGTCTGTTACTCCTTCATTGTGTTACCGAACATGACTTCAAGCATTGTACTCAACTGCAGCGAACTTTTCTGTGGGAATATTTTCAACATTCAAGAACGGAATGCAAAATATTCTCTCTGCTGTTTGTACCATTTCAATACTCCTAGCAATCCATACAGCAAACTTGGCCTTGCTATTTGCCTGGCTATTATACGGGACAGTCAGATGTAATCAAATTCTCGTTCTCAAATAAATGTATGATCTAATTTAAGGTAAACTCAGATCTCGTGATTGTAAGCACATAGTTCAGGCATGCTTAAACACTTCACTGCTCTACCCTCAATGGGTACTACGTAAGTCTCTGACATTTTGCCTGGTTCCTAAAAGTCTATAATTTTAAGGTGTGTTTCCATGTTTTGTAAGATCTCTTCTTCAGTCTGGTCTAATGCCTGTTGAAAATGCTATACAGTTCTGTTTTATTTTGCCACATGTCCTAGCTTTTCTCCCAGATATCATGATTACTCATGCTCTGTCCCATCTTTTTAGTACATGGTGTTTGTTTCTATTCCAGACTGACCCCATTCTCAAGAGAATTTCTATTTTCAGCATCCTGGGGTATGATGATTCAGTTGCTTGAATATAATATTTTTATGTTGCATTTGCTTTGACAGTTCAGTCATTCCTAGGAAGTACTTTGGACCACTTTTCTGGTCTTTGACATGTGGACATAAACGCATCTTGTGCATTTTATTCTCGTATTCCAACAAGAATTGTGCTTGAAACTAGCACATACTTTTATTGTTTGAGTGGAACTTTGTTTTTCTTTAGTTTTGCATTTCTGTGGTAACATTAGGGTTCTTGTGTTATGATTTAATCACCTTGGTTTTCCGGTAAAAGACTGCTGTATTCACTAGTCCTTCTCAAATTCATTAAATAAATTCAAATGTTACCATATGTTGCTAATATTTGGAAATAGCAATGACTTTTCAAATTCTTCAGTAGCTTCTGGGATTTCTGTTTGAGAATTTTTTTCTCAAAGAGTTATCTTTACCCTGTGGAAACATTATGGCAAAACAGTCCTTGTCAATGTCTTTGTTTCACTGGTGAGGCAAAAAACGACTAGTGGTTTCTTTTACAACAACAGGGCTCCAAATCTCACCTCACTGGATCAGCCTGTAAGGTCACCAGTACTGCATGTATACCATACTTGTGTTGCCTCTTCCTCTATTGTGGTCTCTGTGCTTCACACATGTTTAAGGTTGGAAAGAGATGTGATAAGATACTCTGCATTTTTTAGTATTCTCTTGAGTTAATACCTTTACAGGTTAGCATATTACAGGCTACTTTTACCTTCCCAAAATCATTGGATTTCCCTGGGAAGTCAGCAACTGCTGTTGTATGTGATACTGCAATCAAAACCAACTTCCTTTTCATATGTTTGTTTGTATTACCTGCTAATGAGATGGGGTTAATTGTAATGGATTACCATACTTTCTGCCAGGCATTCCTCATATCACCTTCCTGAGTATCATCAGCTCTAATGCTGATTTGTGAGCCTGGCTGGCAGACCTGATACTCTTCAGCTGCAAGGTTCACTACTATCAGCGTTTTCAACACCTAAGCCTACCTGCTGGCTTCCAAAATATAATGACTGTTTTTATTTATACAGGAAGGCTGAAAAAGCCTTGTCAGTATCTAAGTTTTTTTCAGGAACTATCATGCCACTTATGTAATTTTGAGATTATGTAAAACTATTAATTTTTATTTGTATTTCAGTGTTCAAACTATTGCTTATTCTAATGCAATAGATAATGTGTAAAGCAGGTGCTGTACTGGTTGAATGACTTTTGTCTGTTCTAGATATGACATGTCAGGAGAAATCCCATTTTATTCAAATACATCCATCAGCTTGGACTCAAGATTCATGGGTTTTTGTTGCATATACAGATTCACTGTTTCAGCAGCAAGCAGTGGCTTTTATGTTGCATATTCTGAAGATTCAGCCTGTATACTCAGGATATCTTTTGCATCCTGATTAGAATTCACAATGTCTTGAAGGTATTATCATCATTCCACACTGTAATTTTCATTTGGCTTTGCTTGATTACATGTTTTTTTTTTTTTTTTCCTTTTCTTGCTAAATGCATGCCTGGCACATTTGTCATTATCCCACTATCTTAATTTCCTCTTTGTTTTTTTACTTGAGCTCACTTCTAATGCTAATCTGAGCTTTAGAAACTATTTATTCCAACTTGCATTTCATTAATATCAAATATGTGCAAAACCCCATCCTCTGAGTCACTGTTTGCTTTCTTTATGTTTTTCTTTTCAAACTAAGCTCTGGAATAATACTTCTTTTGCCATAATTATTATTTGTGATTCACTATGCAGGAAATTATTAAAGAGTTTTCTCCTTAAGATCTTTTTATCTTGATTTTATTTGTCTCCTCAGCTTATGTATATGCTTTATATACTTTAGCTTGTCCATAAACTTCACTTTTATTTAGCCTCTCATCTTCCTTGTGTTTTTTCTCAAATCACATGTGTCTGTTCTCCTTAGGTCACGGTGGCAATAACACTGCAAACCAATTCCATAAACTGGTATTGCTCCTGAAAGATGCAGCCCCTTCACAGGAAAGACGTTCCCAGCAGAGA